CTACATTGCTGTCCATTGCTTCCTACATCATCTCCTTGGAGGCGAAGATGACAAAGCTTCGCCTCACATACTTCGGGCATGTTGCTAGGAGATGCTATTCCTTGGAGAGGGACATCATGTTTGGAAAGGTGGAAGGATAGTGCAAGAGAGGAAGACCCTCAACCAGATGAACTTACACAGTGACTGTAACTGTGGACTTAAGTGTGTCAGAGGTGGTGAGGGGGCAACAAAATAGGACGGAATTCAGACCTGTTGTTGGGAGGGTCACTATGAGTTGTACTGGACTCGGTGACACTGAACAACACAATAACATTGCTGTCCTCTCAGGAAGATGTGGACAATATCCACTGACCCAAGCCGTGGTTTTTTGGTGTGGGTTTTTTGGGTTTTTTTAAGCCAGTCAAATTTAGCAGTGGGGGGTTGTACCAACTTTAGTTGCACTAATATTAATAGTTTCTGATAACCCACTACCATCAGAGCAGCCAAGCCATGGTATTTTCAATGGCCTCATATACATGCAAAAATTGGACAAAGAATAAGGATGACTGAGGAAGAATTCACACATTTAATTATGGTGCTGAATATAGCACGGACTGCCAGAAGAACGAATAAAATCTGTCTTGGAAGAAGTTCAACCAGAAGAGAAGACGGCAAGACATCATCTAGTGTACTTTGGACATGTTATCAGAAGGGGCCAGTCCCTGGAGAAAGATACCATGATTGGAAAACTGAAAGCTCAGGGACAAAAGGGAAAGGTCCTCAACTCTATAGACTAACACAGAGGCTATAACAACGTTTTCACATACAGCAGAAATTGTGAGGATGATGACACAAGGCAGGGAGAGATGTTCTTTTGAACATAGGTGGCTGAGTCGGAACTTACCCAATGGGAACCAACAACAACAAAAATAACAGGATTGTGAGAGGACAAATGAGATAATTGCTGGAGATTGCCTGTAATGTGCTTGGCAAAAAGGAGATTCTTCAAAAATTTGCCTTCTTTTCCTTTACTGGACAATTCAGTCCTTCCTGTATGACTCTAATCCTATCCTAAAAGGAAATGTCTGGTCCACTAACTAGATGTTAGGAGCTCAGTGCACAACTGCTCCTGCCACAGCAGGGCAATGCTTAACCCACAGCAAAGGGGAACAGGGGACATTTCTGGCTAGCTGGCAGTCTTTCTGGATATCTCCCAAGTCACACCCTGTACTTGACTGTCCCTACACTCAGGATTGGTTCTAGAATCCATGAAAAAGATTTGCTGCTCCAGTTTGCAAAAATAGCAGTGCCTGATTTGGAGAGTTGGTAAGAGAGTGGCCAGATGTTTCCTTCAGAGAACTGTGAAGCCCCCAACCCAGCCTCTTCCCTATCAGAGCTGTTGCTTCTCGTTCCTGCCCCTTCCCATCTGACATTCTCCCCTCCTCCACCCTGGGAACATCTGGTTTCAATCTCCTCCAGATGCTGTGGCCAATCTTTTTTATGGCCAATCACCTCAGCTCAGCTTCCTGAAGGCCTCTTTGCATTTCAGGGGATGGTCCCTGTTCCCTTTTTGTGGGGGCCTCAGCCACCTACCTCTTTTCCTAACATGGAGAAGTGACACATACTGAAGAAGCCAGATGAAATCGTGAAGATCCTCAGAGCTAGTATTTCCCACCCTCCTGCTTGGGGGAAGGGAAGGTTTGCCTTTACCCGGGATAAAAAGGAAAGATGCTGCTCTGTGAGGAAAGGTGTGGGCAGGAGAGTGTGGGTGACTATCTGAACAAAGGCGAATGCATGAGCTGGGTATGCTAGGGGGTGTGTGCAACTGTGTGCATGGCAGAACACCCCACCTTGAGCCAGAGGGGCCCCTTTATGACCGCAACTTCTTTCCATCCCCCACTGCCTGCACAGTAACAACGGCTGTGGAGACGGACCTAACCTTGAGACCCTTGAGTCAGGCAATAACAACTACAGTCCAGCATTGTCCTTCACCTTGTGGTGACCTCCTAGACTGGCCTCTAAATCTACCCTGAAAGAAAGAGACAATGTGTGTGTGTGTGTGTGAGTGTGAGTGTGTGTGTGTGTGTGTGTGTGTGTGTGTTGATTAGATCCCTCTGCTTTCACAGATTAGAGGCAAGCAGGCCATAAGAGGCTGTAGAGCAGAGTCTAGAGGGTGCTTTGACCCAGCCCCATCTGACCAGCCCGGGGCAGGCTCTGTGCTAGAGAGTGGCCGTTTGGAGAGAGGAGAAGCAGGTTCTCAAGAGGAAAGCTGAATGGAATCCCACAGTTTCATTTTCTGCCTTTATCCCTCACCACAAAGTTAACAACACGAGGCCACTAGGAGCCTCCTAAGAAACTCACTGTACAAGATCTAAAAAGGAAGACTAAAGTTTCTTCTTCTGGACAGATCCTGGAGGTGACTTCTTATCTTTGGAATTCTGGGTTCTAAGTGCACTGCCCAATATGCCTTTAAAAAAACCCTCCATGACATTTGTGACTCCATAGCCCCACCTGGTGTTACTCTGGAGCTAGGCATGGCCTCGGGGAGCCCACAGAGCTGTGAACACCTCTTGGAGCTTGGAATGGAATGGTGGAGTTATCAAACCACTATGTCTGAGCCAAGTGCTCCCATGTCTTCTGTCCCATGTGGGGCCCCGGCATACACTAGAGAAGATAGACAATGAAAAGCAGTGATTCCTGGGCACTGTTGACTACTGGCAGTAAAACATGGGGCACATAATTTACCTTCATTGTAGCTCAGTTTTCCTCCCAGGGCCATTGTGAAAATTAAATAAGACTAGATGGCTTACAGTAGGTCCTCATGAAATGATAGTTTGCCCTTCAGCTTTTCCTTTCTAGCCTAAAGAGGGTGTGTGCCAAGTTCTAGTGACACATGGTGACTTGGCCCTGAGTCAGGCACCCAGTGCAGTGAGGTGCCTTTGATTTTTCTGGAGCTTCTCCACTCAGGCAGAGGATCATTTTAATAAGCTCATGATAATAGATGTAGAGGTGACTCAGCGGCAAATGAGGAGGACTGCTAGGGGGAGGGGACATTTATGAGGGGAGGGAAGTCAGGGGCATGTGGGTCTGAAACAATGGCAAGCTGCTATAGGAGACGAGTTCCAAATAGTGGGTTTGAGGAAATTGGTTGGGCCTCCTCTATCACAGTCACCCAGGAAACCCCTATTTTCCCACCCAGAAAGGAACCAAATGACATTCCTGTTTCAAGTGAGAGAAATTTGCTCAGCATTCTAGCCTTCCTCCAACAGTGGGATTTAGTGTCCTGATCCCACTCAGGAGAGTCTTCACTTCAGAGAAATTCCACATACATGTCCTTGGGGGCATCCCAATTTGATCGTCTCTTAGATTTACACTCACCCACCTCACCCTTCCCAGGGTCCAGTGAGAGGCAGGGCCCTCAGGCCATGGTGGTTTATTGATGCACATTGAAAGCACAGCACAGGCGGATGTGCCGCCAACACGGGGCAGACACAGGGCTGGGGAGGGCAGCAGGCCACACCCACAGCAATGCTGTAAGCAGAGGGGAAAAGGGCCTGAGGCCCAGTCCTCTCCCTCTCCATGCATTTCCCAGAGCCCACAAGCCTTCTGGTCCGCTCTAAGGAGGCAGCCACCATGCCTCACTGGCTACAGGAGAGGTTACCGGCTGTTCTCACCCTTTCCCTGAGGTGATGCTCTTGCTGGCCTGCCGAACCCATCTGTTCTTCATCACAGAAGTCCAGCCGCTTGTTTACTGTCCCAGTCACCTCTGAGCCAGTCATTATGGAAGCTGCTCTCTCCTCAGCTTGACATCATCTCTATCATCTCTCAAACAGCTAGCTCCATCGTATCACGTCCCTGGGCCACTCTGCCTGGTTTTCTAGCCTCCAGGAGCCCACCCTCACCACCCTTCTAACCCCATACAAAAGTAGGAAATAGGGAGAATACTGAGATGCCAAGGAAAGACTTCACCAAGAATTCCCAGAGGGCCTCTCAGCTCACCAAGGGTGCTGGTGGGCGCGGGGCGGGGGGTGGAGTGGCAGAGAATCCGCATCCGGTTCACACACAGGCACAATACAGTCACGGCACCGCGCAGAGCGGGAGCGAGCAAAGCAGCACAGCCAGGAGGGTGCCAGGGCTCTGCAGGAAGCGCTCGGCTCTCTAGTTTGCGCCAGGCAAGCCCACTCCCTGCACTGCTGGGTCTCAGGGGTCTCCTTCCCCCTCCTCGACCCCAATGGCTGTCATTCCAGATCCCAGTGATCTGAGCAAGGGAGAAGAAATGCTGGGTATATCGTCTCCCGACAGGAGAAAGGAAAAATCCCAACAGTCGAGAGGCTCCACAGCCAAGAAGGAAAAGGTGGCCCCTTTCTAGAAAGCTGGAGGAGCGTCCGGATTGGGCAGGTGGGGAAGAGGAGGGGCCGCTCTCCCCAAGCAGAGAGAAGGTTGTAAGAGGATAGGAACAGCCAGGGGTAACAGCCGCACACAGAGAATATTTATAGTAGGAAGGGGCCTGGGAGGCACCCAGTTCGGGTGTGGGGGGGGGGGGGGCATCCTGTGGTTGGCCCTGAGTGGGGTGGGTGGGACTAAGGAAGAGCGCGCCCCACATCTCTTCGGTTTGGGGGGCGCATAAGCTGCACGTGGCTTTGACCTATAGAGGCCTCCCTGGAGAGTCCAGACTAGAAGGCCGGCAGGTAAAGTCTCTGAGATGGAGGGCTGGGATGATGTAAGGAAGGAAAAGCGGGACAGGGAAACCAAAGGAAAGGAGACGTTTCCAGAAATCCAAACCCATGCGCTGCGCTACTGGAGGCTAAGAAGCCTTACCAAGTCAATCAGGCACGGAGTGGGCCACGCTCACCAAGAGAACCACCCGCTACAGCCTCCAACGCCCAGGGGTGCGGGGAGGGAGCAGACTGGTGGAGTGCAGGGAGCAAGGGGCGAGGGGAGAGAGGACCAACTCCCGGAACCTAGCCAGCCCTCCTCCACCCTTCCCGCCCGCTCCTAGCCCCTCAGCTCCCCTGGAGGACCTAGCGGCCCACACTGATGTTGCAGGTCTTGCAGCTGGGGTCTTTCTTGGCGTCAGCAGTGGACAGGCTCATGAGCTGGTGCCCGCTGATCTCGCCCAGGGTGCCCAGGGACAGGTCGACGGGCTCGGTGTAGATGATCTCCAGGATGAGGTCCTGGGCGTGGCGGAAGACCAGCTCCCCGTCCTCCACGCTGCAGGTCAGGAACTTGTTGCAGGCAATGTCCAGGAGGGGTAGGCGGTCGCGGCAGAAGCGGTCCCCCAGGGAACCCTTGGGCGCCAGCACCAGGATGGCATAGTGGTAGGCCGTGTACATGCAGTAGAAGTCCGCGAAGTACAGGTTGGTGCTGGGGTTGAAAAGGCGCTGGGCGGGGATCTGGAAGCGCCAGCGGCCGTAGGGGGAGTCCTGGGGAGGCTGACCCGTGTTGAACTCCGTGTTGCAGCTGAAGAAGACGCCATGGAGCATGCCGCTAGTGGGAGAGCCGTGGCTGCCGCTGTTGTCCTTCAGGTAGGGCTGCAGCATGTTCCCGCAGTGGGTCCTGCCAGGTGAGAGAAATGTCACAGGAGAGAGAAAATGCCCCTGGTCACCCGGGCTCAGCCGCAGATGTGCTGGAGAAGGGAGGGGCGTCCTGTTCAGGCCGCCTCCACTAGTCACGAATATAGCATTCTATAACGCCTGCACACGGAGGGCCCTGGGAGATCAGCTCATCGCTCATCCAGCCCACTCCTTCACAGAGGAGAGAGCTGAACCTGTCACTCCCCAGCTTAAAATCCTTTGGTGGGGTGTCATCACTGTCTGCATGAAAAAACAAGGTCCTCTGCCTGGATTGCCAATCCCACTTTCCTCCACCTGGTCTGGCAATTCCTAATCACCTTTTACAACCCAGTGCAAGTGTCTCTAAAACCTTCCTGGAGCAGCTCACAGTTATATTCAACCACTACTGTGTCCTGGATACTGTGACTGTTACATGTATTTATCACTTTAAAGCTTTTCTTTTTTTAATACTGTAGTTGAATGTGGTGACAAAAGACTTGAAGATATTCTCTTCAGACATGGGTTGTTACTGTGTCTGTCAAATCAGAATCAACTCACAGCTCTCAGCAGGTTTTCAAAGGCTATATAAATCACAAGGGAGGAGAGTGTCTATTTTTTCCCCAAGGAGCAGCTGATGGATTTACACTGCCAGCCTTTGGGTTGGCAATGCAACTCCTTACCATTAAGCCACCAGAGCTTCCTCAGACACGAGTAAGAGTGGACAGTCCCTGATCTGGCCTCATCCTTGCCTGGTCCTGGCTGCTGGTTTGACAAGCCAATTAGCTTCCCTTCTGAGTCTTAGCCATGTCATTTGATTTGGTAGAGATCATCAATTTTCAGACATTTTTGGAATATACAACCCTTTCTTGTTTTCCTCCCAAAGGAAATTATACATGGGTAGGCAATATGCAAATCTATTGAAGCTGCTCTAATTAGATTATGTGGGTGGGGTCTACAGGGCCCTAGTCTCTGATTTCCTCCCCAACCTCTTCTCTAGCACCCTTAAATCCTCCCTCAGAGACCTCCCTGGAGCCCCTAGGCTCTTAAGCACACAGTTTGACAAACTCTGAGCTATGTATTTCCTTTCCTCTTGTTATTGAGTACCATCAATAACTGACCAATAGTTGACCCTCCAGTGGGTTTTCAGAGAGAGAAAATAGCACAGGAGATAGCCCATCCTTCTCCCAAGGAGCAGCTGGTAGATTGGAACCATGTGCCTTCAGGACTGCAGCACAGATTCTTACCAATATGCCACCAGAGCTCCCTAACATTTAATCGCCCTTAGTCCCTAGGCCCTCTTATATTCACACGTCTTTCTTGTGCTTCCCTCACCTACTTGTCCTTTCTATTCTGAATTTGAGAGACAATTGACCTGACTAATGTCTACGGTGATAGACCCAGTGAAAAGAATTATCCCAAACAGGATCAAAATCTAGACCTTGTTACTGCCCCTTAGCACAGTGCTCTGTTCTGTCAGGTTGTCTCCACCCCCTTGTTCTCTGCCTTCCCTGGAGTCCAGTCCCAAAATAGCCATCACTCCAGAGCCCATCTGGTGACATGAGAGCATGGGGACTCCAGAGACGGCCCAGTAGCCAACAGAATGGGGGCAATTTTCGCGTGAGCTGGCAGGAGCAGAAGGCTTCAGGGAGGAAAGAGAGGCAGAGGAAGCCCTGCTGGGGAGCCTGCGCCAGGCCAGGCCGTACCTGGCGTGCTGGAAGTACTCCTTGTGATGGTTGCGGTAGAAGACGGAGAAGCGAAGCATGCGGCCTGCAATCTGCTCAGCCTTCTCCTGCAGCTGAGCCAGGTGTTCCTTGGCATAGTCTGCAAGAGGCGAGGGTGGGTCAACCACCAGTCAGCCAGAGAATTACAGTCTTCCCATCACACCCACCCCACACTGTGCATGCCATCATCTCCTGTACTCCAGAGTGGTGAGGGAGACCAAACAGCCACAGCACCTTGGGCTCAGATGGAAAGAGGCCAGCTGGCCTCTCCTGGGAACACGGAGAGCTGGATGCTGGATGCTATCTGTCTTTGTTGCCCCTGCGCCTTCATTGCCAGAGCTCAGGGCCCTTTAGGTCAAGCAAGGGCAAGGGGCTGCCCAGTCAAACTATCATGTCTTAGACCTCACATGCTATAAAATCAGACTGTCCTTATGTAAAAAGAGGCTTGCCAGGCAAAAAAAAAAGGACTTGAGAAGGCAGCCCTTCAAAGTTCAGCCGTTAGGAGGCTGCCCACACCACCTATAAGAAAGCCAGCTGTAATGACAGGTGGGGGCTTGTGAACAGCCTGGGAAGAACCAAGAGTCTGGACCTTCTAGAAGTAAAGGTTTGGACAGACCATATTCTGAGACCATTGGATGTCTGCTTGAGCTTCCCAAGAGAAGTGGGAAAACCTGGAAATAGGCTAGTAAAATCAAAACCCTTGAGTCAAGGCTAGACGTTGTGGTCCTGGAGTTTGGGCATCACTGCTTCTAGCCGACACAGCACCTTTTTGCAAATTAGGCAATGGTGCCCTTTCCTTCTTGCTTATGTAGCCCTGGCGAAACCTGCAAGAGGGGTGTAGACTGGACTGCAGCCATCCCCAGTTCCCCTAGTTTGAATTAAACTCCTAGTACAAATGTGGCATTCTTGGGGTTTTCCCTGCAAAGAGCAGGAGTACCTCCAGGGAGTAGAGTTTTGCAGCAGAGCTGAGAAAAAGCACCACTCATAAGACAATAGTAGCTCAAGGAGACTTGGGACATGGTCTTGGCAGAGGATGGAGCCAGCAGTTACTGAGGCCTGGGGCTGAGAATGTTCTCTGCCCCTTCCTTATGACAGAGGGAGATCTGGAGCAGTTCTCACCATGAACACAAAAGAATGGAATATTGTGGGAGAGATCCTGGGTCATGAGTGACACAAGTCCGGTGTTGATTCATGCTGGAATTTGCAAATTAACATCTGCTCAGAGTTTGCAAGGTCACTGAGTCGGGGCTGACAATGCAGGACAAACAATATAGTTAGCCCAGGCCAAACCCGTTAATTGTTTCTTTATGAAGGCATTATTACCAACAGAATAAGTGGTTTTCACACCTGCCCTCTGAATTAGACTGCGGGCTTTCTGAGGCCAGGAAAGTCTTCTCCAGGACTATTTTCCCTATGGCCCAAGCATAGTGCCTGATGTACAGCAGATGTCCATAAATGTCTGTTGGATTACAGTGAAGCCCCCATGTGGCCATCAGTAAGCTAGATAGGCCTGAGCAGCAGGATAGTGATGTGAGAGCTGGGTCTTACCGCCAGTGCAGAATTCAACAGTCTCACTCCAGCCAGACACCAGGTACTCGCCGTCACTCTGCTTCACAGCTGTCTGCACAGCCACGCTGTATTCCGTGCGGGGGCTCAGGAACCAGTGCCCTCTAACTGTCATGGGCAGTGGCACAGCCTTGGCAACGAGCTTGGTGGGGACATCCTAAGAAATGGGAGATGGACAGCTGAGAATCAAACCAGGGACCGATGCCCAGGCATCCCACTCCTCAAATGACTCCCATCTCTCCTGAGAGGGCCAGAATCCCAAAGATACAATGGCTCCATGTCCTGGCCACCATTTTCTTGTAGAAGCCAGCAGTGGCCACTGGGACACTCTCAGAAAGATACAGTTATGCCCTAGACTGTGCCCTTTCCTCAAAGCCCTTATACCTATTCTTTCAAGAACTGAGGCAAAAGGCCACTAAGGAGGGGTCCCCCAAAGTTGAGTGCATCAAGACCTTCCTTTTTGAGGGAGACTCGGAGCTCTGCACACTGCAGCACCGTCTCCACGGCAACAGCAAATGCTGAGAAGCCAGGGAGGAAGGGAAAATATGCCTTATTCTTTTGGGGGGGGTGGTGTTGAACATTCACGTCACCGTGGCAACTGGCCTGCCAAAAGACACCCAGATTGGGAGAACCAGTTTCAGAGAGAGAGGGCGAGTAACCCACACTGATGCTGTCGTCGTGGGAACCAGCTTCTTCCCACCTCACTCTTCCCCTTCCTCTCGGCAAGCTTGAGAAGATGGGAGGCTTCCTCCCACCCGCCCCAACAAAGGCTTTAACCCAGGGAAGATTCAGCTCCTAAGTTAAAGACTAAGGTTTCTAAATAATTGGCCAGAAGGTGAGGGACAGAGATTCACAGGGGACTTGAGATCAGTGAGTACCAAGTACAAGGGTACCACCTCCTCCTCATGCCTCATGCCACCCTCCCGGTTAACAACACAGCTGCTCTCGAGCCCAGAGCTTCGTCACAACTTGAGACGCCATTCCTGTGTGTGTGTGACGCAGAGCCTTTGGTCCCACCCCAGCATAGTTCTGGGACTATATCTGAAATCCCAGTAATAATGTGATAATAGCTCTCACCATGTGCTAGGCACGGTGCCAAATACCACACACGGTATCTCATTGAATCTTCTCAACTCCATGGGGGCTGGTATTTTTTTTTTCCTTTTCACCAGTGAAGAAATATGAATTCAGAGAGGTTAAATAACTTTCTCAAGGTTTCACAATAAGAGTCTTCATTTTAATCAGGCCTATTTCGCTCTGAGGACCTAGTGGTGAGGAGTTTAACTGTCAACTCAAAGGCACACAGTTCAAATCCATCAGCTGCAGGAGAAAGATGAATATTCTACTCCCGTGAGTTTTACAGCCTCTGAAAACCCATTGGGGAGCCAGCTATGGGTCGGTCTGACTCTCCAGCACAAAACATTTAGCTCTAAAATATTCCTTCCAGGCATTCCAGGATCCTGTCTCCTTCAAAACAGATGTTGAGATGAGACACCTCTGGGCACCCTCCCTACTCACCCGGTGTTTGAACTTGTTAGAGTTCTTATTCTCCTTCTTGTTGAGGTCAATGAAGTAATGGGTCACCCTCTCTAGGTCACTGTTCTCCATGGCCCAGGAGATGCGGAAGGAGTCACAGGTGATGTTGTTGATCTCAATACTGTGGGGGGTGGACAGCAGCTCCATGCTCCCCTCTGGTCTGGTACCTGCGGGGACTGAGAGAGAAGGGAGGGATTAGCACCTCCATCCCATCATGGAGTTTTGTGGAGTGTCTGCTCCGAACATCTCTTGTAAGGATTTTAAGAACCCTTTCCTGCTTCAAAAGTCTGATGGAAAAGATCACATGGATTGTGTGATTGGAGAGGAAGGACCAGAGATGAAATGGAGTGTCCCTCCCCCAGGGGCACTTGGCTCTCCTCAGAGGGGTCTAAGAGCAGACGGCACCTGACAGGTGGCAGAGGCAGTGGGAATGCTGCAAACGCTGGGCGGGACAGATTCACAGCAGATGGAGCCGAGGAGGGAGGGGGGCCCTTAGCCAACAGGCGTAAAAAGAGAAAGGGATGGGATGGAACAGGGGTGGGGGTAGAGAGAATGGGGAAGGCCAGCAGAAGAGACAGGAAATACCTGCTGAGGAGTTGAGGTATGTAGCTCATGGCAGCCAGAAGGCCAGGGAGGTCAGGGCTCTTAAAAATCTCTCTTCTCTAGGGGTTCAAACTCCCCAGGAAAGAAGCTTCAAGATCAGCACAGGGCTGTGTAGGTTCTTGTGGATGCACTCGTGGGAGGTAGAGGACAGCGTGGGCCACAGCCCACTTCCAGCTATTATTTGACCAGTAAGTTTTATGACTATCGCTTGTTTTCTTTCCTTTTCATGGAATTTCACATCGGTAGGCATTCTCCCCATTTTCCAGATAAGATAACCGAGGTTGGGAGATACTAATATGCTCAAGGTAACCCAGCTAGCAAATTATTGACCTGAGGTCCAATATTGGAGCCCAAGCTCTTTATCATTAAGCTAAGGTTGTGTGTCTGTGTGAGGTTGGGGGGCTGGGGGGAACACGTGCACACATCCGTGTAAACATAGGCACACATGGTGGTATGTGCCTTTATTTTTCATCCTTCCTTTCCTAGCAATTATGTTCCCTCTCACTCCTTCAGTTCTCACATTGCCTCCGGCTGCTGTTCAGGTATTAGACCATACCACCACCATCACTTGTGCTCTAACTAAAAGTGCTGACTCTGGCCTTGACTTTGGCTCAGCTCACCTGAGCTCCAGGGCATGGGACAGGAGCATCTCTGGGATAAGAACACAAATGTGGGCTAGACTTTTCCCCCAGGGCATTTGCTTAGGTCACATGCTTTCACTGGTTCCTTCCTCAAGTCCAGCTCTGGCACACCTCTGTTTTCTCATCTCCCCTCCTTGGTCAAAGACTAGAGGTGAGGGTACGTTGCGAAAGCAGGTACTTTTATTTATAGCTTCCAGAAGTTCCAGCCCACACTTTCTGTCAGTTAAGGAACCTGGCACCTCTAAATTAATCTGTGGGCTGCCTGGGATGCAGGCACAAGGTGAGGAATGTGGGTGATGGCTCTTACCTGCCCCAGGGTATCACCTGAGTCTTTGTTCATCTTAGCTTTCCACCGTAAAACTTGTGCTTGCATTTTAGGAAGTTCAGCCAAATGCCAGTGGCTTTGTGTACAAAAAAGCCTAGGGTGAATAAGCCTGGGACTGCTACCCAGGCCCAACCTCATATAGCACAGAAATATATCAGGTGTCTGGAAACATCCCCACATCAATAAACCACCTTGTAATCAACGGGGACAGAAGAGCATTGGAGAGTTAACCATCTTCCAGACTCCCAGTGAGAAGCATATGCACGCGTGAGCAGACACACTCCCACCCAGAGCAGCCCCCACACACTCATGTAGGATGGAATGCAGGCTTTGCCTGCCCCTGAGTGCGCACCTATTTTGGACTCAGTACCTACTCTCTGCACAGCTCGCCTAGAGACAAGAGCACCTGCATTTGATGGTTGGGATCTCCAAGACCTGGGTGGCTGCCTGACCTTTCTCTTGTACTTCTAGGAGAGACTGACGTTCTAGAAGGGAGAGTGAGAGCGAGTGATGCAAGGAGAAGAGTAAAGCCAGGGTTTCAGTCGACCAAGGGTGGATGAAGCCCAGGTTCTTGACACCCAGGTGATTAGGGAAGGGCAGTGTGTGAAGGACAGGTTGAGACACCACCCTGGAAACACTCCCACTCCCATGGGAATCCACCCAGAGACAAGCATTTACACACCTACTCATTGGCAAGCACGCACACGCATCCTCCACATCCACATACATACACACCCACATCGTGCCACACGCAGGCTGCGCACACCTCCTCACGCACCTTTGCCCACACACACTCGTCTGTACACTCAGGTGCTTTCCACAACCTCACGGTACCCTCCTGCGTCCCTCCCAAGAGCTGCCACATTTCTGCGGACCCACACTCACTCATGGCCATGGGCACATGCACAAACATTGGAATGCACATTTTTGCACAGGCCATATTTGGGTAAAAGAGGAAGCAGCGGGCATCAACACACCCAAATGCCACCTCCACAAGAAGGCACCCACTGAGATGCCTGTTTGCGCACTTATGCCCATTTGGACACCCATCAACTCCTGCCCATCTTCTTCCTCTCTAGTCTTCTCTAGGCTCATAAACATAAACTTGGAAAAGGTGTTTACCTCTGGTCACAGGCTGTCAACCCGAGCCCATCACATGCCAACAGGTTTGCGCACCTACACAGGTCTGCCCACAGATGATGGCTCCTGGCTGCACTTTCCACCCACCAGCTCCTTCTGCCTGTAGTTGCGCCTCCCCACATAGAAACCTTCTGGTTGCATGTGCTCCCACACACATGACAAGTGTGTCCACCCCTAAATACACCACCTCACAGTGCCCCCACGCAAGTGTGCCCACAGGCTACTCAGCTAACTCCTCCTTCCACACATGTTCCTTGTGTGTATAAGAAACATGTCCATAGACCTGAAACCCACTGGTCACACACACATACATGATGAGCAAGCTGCATGCAGACCTATCTACGCAGGCAAACCTCAGACTCCTGGAAAACATGCAAACTCAAATCGAAACCCCTTCATCCATGCCCATTCAGAAAAGCCACATGATGCCAGAAGGGAAGCTTGTCCCTGTTGGCATTGCTGACTGCAGCAGAATGGTCACGGGGTGACTAACTGGTGCCCCAGAGATTGAATCCAGCTGTTAACCTTTTTGCAAAAGGCCTGGGAGAAAGGGACAAGGTCAACAGGCCCAGCATTCCAATAGGGCACCAAAGCACTGGCAGCACCCGGGTGCCCAGCTCCCAGACACTGGCCACTTGAGTCCCCTCTCCGGATAGACAGCAGGATGTTCTGGGGAAGAAGGGCACTCACCTGGCTGCACTGGGCTCTGCAGAGGAAGACCTGAAAGGGAAGGAGATGGAGGGAAGGAGACCTCGATGTGGATGAGCTCCCGGAGCAGCAAGCAGCAGCCGGACTCCTGGGTTACAGGCAGCAGCACTCACTTGATCCTCTCCCGGCTGCCCAGGAGGCTTCTTCCATGCCCCGCAGGCAGCTCCTGTCGGCTTCTGCAGCGCTGCTGCTGCTATTACTGCCCCCGGTGAGACAGTGTTCCCCAGCCAAGCGCAAGGAGAGAGGCAAAAGAGAAATCAAAGCAGCGTGGAGGAGAGAGAGGCAGGGAAGGCGAAAAAGAACTGGAGAGACAGACCGAATCTGGCTCCACCAATGGGATCAGTGGCTGCACCACGTCAGGTGATAATAAGCAAGCTTGGTCCCTGCTTGGCTGGGCTAGTGGGAGGGAGAAAGGGCAGAGGGTCTCCCAGGGAGCTACCGATGTCCTCAGTGACAGTAGTGCTGTTGCCCCCTCCCCCCGTTCCCATTCTTTCAAGGTAAGTTGCCCCCAGGAGTCCAACACACCCCCACTTTGAAATCTCTGAATTGAATGCAGCCCCCAAACTTTGGGATGCTGGGATAGGGGTGGGGCTTAGCTCAAGGGCTGGAGCCCCAAAACAATCGTTTTGATTGGGGGGAAGGGAAAGGAAGCTGTGAAGGGGTCCAGATGGGGGTATGTGTGCCAAGAGGAGGAGGTTCTATCTTCAGCCTGAATTCTCTCTAAGGTACCTTTTGCTGATTTGTGGCTCCTTTTTCCTAAGAGATAGGCAATCTGCAGTCCCAGGGACCTCTGGCTCTAATGTGAATCCTTTGGCTGCTTACTTGTCCCCTGGGAAATGTGCAGCAGAGAGAAGTTGTGGAGCAATGAAGGGTGTGTAGGTGTAAGAAAGACAAGAAGTGAAACACACAGAGCTTTGAGTGTTATCCCAGCCAACCATCTGAGGAAACCGGGAGGGATATGTTGACCAGAGAGGATAATATCTGCTCTCTTATCAGCAGGAGCCTTTTCTACTCAACAAGAAATGAGATCCTTTGGATTCCATCACAAAAGGCACTCAAGGCAATTTGAATTAAGCAACAAAGAATGACAAGGAGCCTTTTTAGGCACTTGGAGCATTGAAAATCTTGAGCTTTACAATCAGGCAGATAGAATTCTTGCTGTCTGAATCTCTAGCTATCTGGCCCTGGACAAGTAACTCAGGCTCTCTGAGCCTCAGTTTTTTCATCTGTCAAACAGAATAATACAAGATTCTTGTGATCACTAAATTAGAGACTTCTGTCAAGAACCTCGCTCTGGACCTGGCATACATTATTACCAATCTTTGCCTGCAAGAACCCACAGCCATTCAGGGAGAAAGATGACCATTCAGATGGCATGATTAGATAACAAGGGGTATACAAATTGCAAGGAGGTAAGAAAAAGAACAGTCAGGAGCAGCTCTAGAATGTAGGTGGGGCATAGCCAAGAGAAGATGAACACAGAGGTGGGGTAGGCTTGGTGCTGAGGTGAGGGCTTCAGAGAGTTCCAGAAAACTTGAGACATTCACCAAGACAGACCCTAGGGGGCTGCAGATGTTGGCAGCAAAAGTTGGAGGAGGTGAAAGTGGACAGAAAGCAAACAGTTTGTAGAATATAAAGACAGGCAGAAGCCAATCCTACCTTAAAGGGTGTGGAGATCTTGAACAAGTTGTGTCAGGTCCCGAACCAGAGAATGTGGTGTGGTGGGTTACACTGAGGCAGGATTAAGCATTCCCTTGGCCAAACATAGCCAGGTTCCTCCCCTCACACACCTACACTGAGATGTTGAAATTCAGAATAACATCAAAATGTAATCTCTTGGTTATAACAAAGCGACAGACCTCTGGACTAAAACTTTGCCCCTAAGACCAACTTGGAGGTACTGTGAGGACTTTGGGAGTGATGTGAGGAAAATGTCCGATTTTCTGTGACTTGGTTTCCCCTTCTTTAAAAGTAGCCTAGTCCCACCATCACCTCTAGCTCCCACCTTCTCAGAATTACGTGAGGCTCCTGCATGAGATCATGTGTCCTGAGGAGTGAACCTTCTGAATAGCTTTTTGTGAAGCTTTATGCTGGTGCTGGGTGAAGGCTCAAACGCTCTCAGAGCTTCGGCTGCTTCTTGCTTCACAGGACTTGTATACCAATCACATGAGAAAATACTTGGTAAGGACAAAGCAT